ATAGTGATATGGAACAGAGGTCCATCAGTGGCTGTTAGCCACAAGGTATAGATAGGGGCTTTGGGGCAAGTGATGCTCTGTCTTCTTGGGGGGGGGGGCAACAGTGGGAGGGCTTCTAATGTCCTGGCCCCAATGGTGGACCTCCTGATGGCACCTGGTATTTTTGGCCACTGTGTGACAGAGTGTTGGACTGGATGGGCCTTTGGCCTGATCCAACATTGGCGTCTCTTATGTTCTTATGTAGCACCAGAAAAGACAATACTGATAGGAAAAGTTGGAGGCAGTAAGAAAAGAGGAAGACCCAACATGAGATGGATTGACTCAGTCAGGGAAGCCATGACCCTCTGCTTGCAAGGCCTCAGCAAGGCTGTCAATGATAGGATGTTCTGGGGGGTCATTCATTCATGGGGTCACCATAAGTTGGAAGTGACTCGACAGTACATAGCACTTGGCTATGTCAGACTAGAATCTGCAAGACTCAGATATTAATCTCCACTCTGCCATGGAAGCTGACTGGGTAAATTAATTATCGTATGGCATTGTGTGTAGAATAAACAAGAGATCCTAAGGTTGTCTGGCAGCCAGAAGTTCTAGCTCTTTTAGCGTTAGGCACCACTAGGTGGTGAGCTAGACTTGTTTTTAAGGCAAGAGACGTTTCAGAGGTGGTTTGCCATTGCCTGCCTCTACGTCCCAAGCCCTAATATTCCTTGGCAGTCTCCCATACAAATACTAGCCAGGGCCGACCCTGCTTAGTTTCTGAGATCTGATGGTGTCAGGCTAGCCTGGGCTATCCAGTTTGGGGCAGCTGACTGGGTGACCTTAGGATAGTCAATCTCCCCCCATTCTATCCTACTTCACAAGGCTGCTGTTGTGAGGATAAAATGAAGCGGAAAGAATGATGGGTCCCTGTTGGGATACAAATGTCTAAATGGATGAACAAAATAAACTAATCTTTGCCCACAGTGAGACCAGGCATCATCTCTGGTCATTTTGTTTTACTAAAAGCCCCAAGCTCTTTAGCCTATCCTTATAGGGAAGGGTCTCCTACATCTTAATAACTTTGATCACCCAAACAAGTCGCTGAACAAAGGACCTCAAGAGGACCTCACTCCATGGCCACGACTGGAGCTCTGGTCTCTTTCGTTGTTGCACTTTCCATTTAGATGAGGCATGATTTCTCCAAGACACGCAGCTTTCTCCTGTTCTTATAGTAACAGGATATGACTTTTAACCGCTTGGCCACAAACATCTTCTGGAGATAAACCACCCTTGGGGATTATTTCCCCCCTGTAATTACTCCATATTTTCCCTCAAAGGGTTTTGGGGGCCCTAAACTCTTTCCAAACGATGAGTCCAAATATATATATATATGCTGTAATTAAAAGATTTGAGGACGAAAGCTTCTGGAGGGTCTCCTTGCTGCAGGGGTTTTGCCTTTGTTCTTTTAGGCTCAGCTTTTGGGTGTGGTAATCAACTGATCAAGGCACTTGGCGGAGTCCCTGGAGGTTGTGTGTTTGAGTCTTACTATGGACATGTTTGCATAAGGGTGGAAGGGCAGGTATGGATTCCAGTTGATATGAGGCGCAGGACACAAAATAGTAAAAAGAGGCTGTAAATATGCTAGGAGTTCTCTTTTGAATGTGTGTGTGTGTGTGTGTAGCACGTTAACAAATTGAATGCTGGTATATCTATGTATTTATTAGGTGTTTGTTATTTATTAGGTGATATGATAACCATCTTCAAACTTGAAGGGCTGTCATATAGAGGATGGTACGGAGTTGTTTTCTGTTGCCCCAGAACCAACGGGTTGAAATTAAATCAGAAGAGTTTTCAGCTAAACATTAGGAAGAACTTCCTGGGTTCCTCAGTGGAACAGGCTTCCTTGGGAGGTGGTGGGCTCTCTTTCTTTGGAGGCTTTCATACGGAGGCTAGATGGCCATCTGACAGCAATGTGGATTGTATGAACTTAGGCAGATCATGAGAGAGAGGGCAGGGAGGGTTGCCTGAGTGTTTAGTTCTTGTGGCCCTTTCGTACAAACCCAGGGAAATGCTGACTGCCACTTTGGGGTCAAGAAGCAATTTTCCTCCAGGGATCCTGGAGGCTTTTTATCATCTTTTGGGTGTGGAACAGTAGTCACTGCGGGTGTGGAGGGGAGGTGTTTGTGAATTTCCTGCACTGTGCAGGTGGTTGGACTAGATGACCCTGGAGATCCCTTCCAACTCTATGGTCCCGGTCACACGGGAGGAATTGCCCCGCGGAATGGCCGGATTGAGGGCGGATTAAACCAGCGCAATCAGATGCGTCGCACACCTGCCCCCCAACCCGTCCCTTCCAGCCGAAGATGCGGAGTAAAAAAAAACCCTGCAAAACACTACTACCTACTGGAAAATCCGTGGCACGGGTGGCCGTGTGATCGCCGACGCTCCCGTCTCCCGCAGCATGCGAGGCCCCCTGCCAAACTGCGCAGGCGCACACATACGCAGCTGACTCGCCTCGCTTTCCTGTCCGTGGCTTCTCCCTCACATCTGATCACGCTGGGGAGCATATGCGCGGCAGCTCGGGGGATCTGTCTGATTCCGCTGCCGCGCTTCTCTTTTGCTGCGGCTCTAAAAAGCTGCACTTCTGCCCAGCTTTTCCTGTGGTGTGGCCGGGGCCTATGATTCTGTGATTCTAATATCCTGTCGTATCCAATACTGCCTGCAAAACACCTGGATGCAGAGAGTGACACCCCTCAGATACATCTAAATAGAAGCTGTGAATCCATGCAAGTCTGTGCAGGGTCACATTCTGCTGAGGCATGATTTTGGGGGGAAACCAATTATTTTAAATGGGAGATCAGCCTAGGTGGAATATTCAAAATCCATCCCCATTTATTTGTTAAATGTTCTTCACCAAAGGTTTTACCATAGCTGTTCACGTATCTTGTATAAGATCTGTCCTTACCCATTAAATCATTTCCTGAACATTCCCCACCCAGGCGTAGATGTCTCTAACAGCTGCCCGTTGAAAAGCACTGAGGTGAGGAAACAGAGTCCTGGACTAAAGATGGGCCTTCAGACTGAAGGAGACTGATACAATGCTAGAATGCATGATTATTTTTGCTGAAACCCAGGGGTCATTTCGTAGAAAAAGAGCTAGGGGAACTCATTAGCATAACTCATTAGCATATGCCACACCCCCTGACATCACCGGAAGTGTGTCATAAGGCCACACCCCCTGACATCACTGGAAGTGTGTCATAAGGCCACACACCCCGCCCCCAACGGTCCCGGCCGCCACCGCCGGCCTTGCAGCTCCACTGCCGAGCCCTATGAGGGGCCCAGCGGTGGACCTGCAAGGCCGGCAGGAGTGCAAGGAAGCCCCGCAAAGGCCCTCCCTGGCCCCAGGCAGGCAGGGGTGAGGAGAGGCAGGGAGGAAGCAGCTTACCCTCCCTCTTCTCCTGCCTCCTCTTGGCTGAATGAGGGCCGGAAGCGGGGTGGCCGGAAGCAGGGAGCGGGGCTTCGTCATGTGCCGCGCTCCCCATACCTCACCCGGGGGAACTGCGATCCCCCGCGTTCCCCCCCGAAATGACCTCTGCTGAAACCAAATACCACCAGGATTGTTTTTTAACACCTGTGATTGCAGCTGCTTCTTTTCCTGGTGGTTTTAGAGGGTGGCCATGTTGGTCTTCAGTACAGCAACTACATTTGAGTGCAATAGCACCTTAGAGACCAACAAGCATTTCAGGGTATGAGCTTTCAAGAGTTGTGTGTGTGTGTGTGTGTGTGCACGCGCACATGCCTGGAAGTCGTAGTTGACTTCTGGCAATCCCTAGTGGGGCTCGGACATTTCAGAGAGGTGGCTTTGATATTACCTGCCTCTGTGCCCTGGCCTTCCTGGGAGGTCGCCCTTCCAAGTGCTTGCCAGGGTTGGCCCTGCTTAGCTTCTGAGATCTGATGCGATTGGCTTGTCTGGGCTACCCAGGTCAGGATTTTGAATTTGCTCCTGCATCCTTATGCATTTTGTTTTACTTTATTATCAACTTTGTATCTTCTATGTTTCTGTGATTTTTTTCCCCCTGAATAGAGCCAGCTTCATCTGTTTAGTTAGCAGAGTCTTCAGTCTTCGTTTCTCATTAATCAGAGAAATGTTCTTCCAATCTGTGTAATCCAGCAACAACAGTGATATTATTTGACTTATCTGTGTAAATGAATACTGACTACTTTAAGTTGGATGAATATATACTGCACAAATCCAATCCTCAAATTCAGTAATAGACCATTCACAATGTTGTACCACTCTCATATTTCCGATACCCCATTGTGTTGAACCAAGGCGCACAATTCAAAGTGCTGGTTGTTACCTTTAAGACCCTGATTATTTTGAGTCTTTCCTCCTCCTCTCCCCTAGTGCCCAGCCCTCCAGGTAAGATCTGATTAAAGGCTCTGCTTAAGCCCTGCTAACTATGCCCCAGCCTGCAGAAGTGAGGTGGATGCTGACAACAGACAGGGTCTTTTTAGCAGTGGCTCACTTCTGGCATTCACTTCACCCATGGAGTAGACCTTTCTTGTTTCCCCCTTCCACTGCAGCTCCTATTTCCCAGGAGCACCATTTTGGAAGACATGTTGGGCTGCAAGAGATGGGGGAGACAAGAAAGGTTTGCTCCACTTTGCTGATGGAAATTTCTTCTGTCAGTGGAAATGTTCCAAGGGATCAAAGCCACTGTTCCTTGATTAAATTTTGGTGTGAGCCATATGTATTGCCAAGTTAATAAATAAAATCATTATCCAAGGCTTACATCACATTACTTTGTCTGCCAAATCCGATCCGTAAGTCACCACCTGACCGTTGCTTCTTTAATGTATAAAGTCCTGTTTTAGGATTGGACCAAGAGAAAGAGTTGAGTTAGATGACCCTTCTAGCAGTATGGATCTCTGAAGCAAATGATTTATTACAAACATTGTTCCTGTTCTTAAAAAAAAATAAATAACAGTACAAAACCTGCATTCCTTTATTTCAGCTGGAGAGAGAAGAAGAGAAGCAAGAAGAAAATGCACCAGAATTTATTAAGGTCAAGGAAAACCTGAGGAGGACATCAACACTAACCGGGGCAGAGAAGGTTGCGTAGCATCAGTCGAGATCTTCTGTTGGTTCAAATACTTAAACACTGACATCTCTGTATATGGTGGATATTCACAGTTATGTCTTTGGGGCTACTTACTGTTTGTTAATGCTTGTTCCAGTAGAAATCCCCAACATGGGCTTTTTTGTAATCCCAAAAAAGTATACAGCCAGAAGGTGGGTGTCTTACACAGGAGAAGTACCCAAACGAGAAAGCGCAAAGGGAGTGGGGGAATTGTAACTACAATATATACCCTTCCTCTCAAGTATCTGGACAACATTAAAGCCCTGTCCACTCCTTATTAATCTTTGCCTAACCACCAAAATGACCTTCCCAGCCCTCTGATGCCTTTAAGAAACCTTGCACATGTTTTTTTCCTAGCAACCATAAGGACTAGACACGTGCTTTAAAAAAAAAAAAAAGTATATAGCATGAGCTCATAGCGGAGGCACTGTGGGGAGGGAGATTTTGCACAAAGAGCTATGGACATCATTATATGCAAGAATTTCAAGAAGCTAAACAACCAAGCATTTCTGCTGCTTGTAGTAAAATACAGAAGGCTGGTAGGCTAAGCTTTCTGCTAGAGAAGCTTGTTGTCAAAAGCAAAAGCAAAAGGGAAAAGGGAAAAGCTTGCCAGTTGGGAACGTGCTAGCTAACTCCTAAAGCACATCCCCCTCTAATTGCCTGACTTATGGGATATCTCAGCAACAAAGCCCCAGGACAAGAAATGGCATCCTCCACCCATTGTTTAAGAGATGTGGAGGAAATATGTCATGCGTCGTTTCTGGGGTGTGGTGGTCCTTTGTTGACTTCAGTCATTATATGAATCTTTGCAACGTCCTGTAGAGCTTGTCAACTCCCAATGAAAAGGGTATGCTAGGTGGGGGTCAAGTTGCATGTATATTTTTAACCTTTGGACTGGGAGATCAGAGGAAGGGATGGAGTGACTGTCTTCCAAGGGGATCTTTAAAAGCTTTACTGGAAGACAAAGTAATTTTTGTATTGATTCAGAAGGTAGCAAAACCAAGGGCTGATGGGAAACTGGGAGGGTGGAGGTGGTGCCTGGGGAGGCAAACAGACAAAAAAAGGCAGAATCATAAGAGGTAGGGCTGCCAACAGTGTCCTGGGAAATTCCTAGAGATTTGGGGTGGTGCCTGTGGAGGGAAGAATTTGGGGACAGATTTCACATGGAGTACCACAGAGCTGCCCTCTGAAGCTGCTATTCCCCCCCCCCCAAGGGAACTGATCTCTGTTTCCTGGAGACTGGTTGCTATTCCAGGAAAACTCCAGGTCCCACTAGGGCTGCCATGTCTCCCTGGCCACCGGCGCGGGTAGGGAGACTTACTGGCAGTTGAGGAGGCCTATACCACCGTCTCGGTGTTGACGCCAGGAACATTACTTCTGGCATGGGTCGGAAGTGATGTCATCACGTTGCTGGGGACGCTCTGGTATTTGGGTAACGGTTCTATGGTAGAAGCCATTTTTGCCATAGAGTTTTTACCCAAACACCAGAGAATCCCCATGTCAGCAGTGATGCTATGATGTCATTTCTGCCGTGTGCGAGGTGATGTCACCGTGTTGCTGGTGATGATGCTGAGACTGGTGTAGGCCTCCCCTGCTGCAGGTAAGTCCTCCCGCTGGCCAGCTGTTTGGGAGTGGGGCAGCGCCTTGGGCTGGGGGATCCCCCACCCCCAGCAGGGGGGTGGCAACCCTAGGCCTCACTTAGATGGGAAGCAGGGCCTGCAGCAGAGAAGCCTTGCCTCTGGCCACCAAAAAGCCCTGCCCAGCTCTCTGATGTCTTTAAAAAAACCTTGCACACGTTCTTCCAAACAACCATAAGGACTAAATATATTCTTTTTAAAAAACAAGTAAATGAATCAGAGGGTTATTGCATGTCATCTTCAGGTGTCGTGGGGGTGTTCCTGGCCGTCATTCCCACATCTAAAATCCATTTTAACAATGTTGTAGATCGGGCCAATTGCGATGTTCAGAGCAGTAAACATGAGAAACCAGCAGGTGGCTTAGAGTTGTAATCCTATGCAGAATTACTCCATTCAAACTCTACTGCAATCACTGGGCTTAGACAGGAGTAACTCTGCATAGGACAACACTCTTAGTGGCCATTTTTATTCTAGGAGGGGGGAAAAAATCAGGACTTAAAAAAAAAAAGTCAGGATCAATCACAGGCGCCTGTCCTCCACTTGTTGCACCACTGACTCCTGGGTCAAAGACAAAAAGACAAGGCCCTGCTTGTGTTGCTTGGTTTGCAAGCCTGGCTCCTTCCTGGCTTCATACGAACATAAGAAGAGCGCTGCTGGATCTGACCAGCATCCTGTCTCACACAGGGGCCAACTAATTCCTCTGGATGGCCAATAACAGAGGCATAGAGGCCAAGGCCATCCCCTGATGTTGCCTCCTGGCTCTGGGATTCAGAGGTTTAGTGTCTCTGAACGTGGAGGTTCTCTTTAGTCACTATGACTAGCAGCCACTGATAGACTCATCCTCCATGAATCTATCTAACCCCCTTTTAAAGCCATCTGTGCCTGTGGCCATCAGTACACCCTCTGGCAGCAAATTCTACATCTTAATCATTCTCTTCACAAGTTGTCCTTCCACTAGAGGGGGCAGGTGGAAAATCTTGGAGTAACGTCAGTCATCTCTGTTACACTTTCACCCACCACGGGGCTGCTGTTCAAATTTTCTCCATCCCTCATCATGGCCTGTCTCTGATAACAGATCTACAGATCTGCAAATCGAAGATGGCCTCAGCAGTCAGTCTTCCCCATTCCTGCCATGGTTCAGGTGGGCTGCCTGTCATTTGTCTAACTTTTAAAGTGTTGCATGTTAATTTATGCATTTATATGTTCACCCCTTATCCTTTTAAAAAAATAAAATAAAACATGCTTTAAATGTTCAAACTGTTCCAGGTAGAGAAGGGAAGATACTTACATCGCAGGCTGTAGTCAATAAGCACCCTGGATCTTTCCTCTTCAAGCCTCCCTGAATACCTTTATAGCCATGATTTAAGAGCTTGCCTTGGGACAGAAGAAATAGATCATCTGCCTCCCAGCAGCCCAACTGCCTCTGTTACTGTGCCAGGCAGAGGTCCTTTCAAGGCAGGGCCATATCTCTTAGCCGAATAGTATATCACAAATGCTGAAGGCTGCAGGTTTAATCTAGCAGAACTACAAAACACGGTATTAGGTGAACTAATGTATTTATTCAGTATAAGGCAAGTTCGTATGTTCAATTTCAGCACTATATATGTCAGTCTAGCCCAATCTTGCCAGATCTTGACTGCCAGGCAGTATCTGCCCTGGTTAGTACTTGGATGGGAGACCACCAAGGAAGTCCCAGGTTGCTACACAGAGGCAGGCAATGGCAAATCACCTCTGTTCCTCTCTTGCTTTGAAAACCCTATGGAGTTCCCATAAGTCACTGAGACTTTCCACACATGTCTATGCACTGGTTTTCTTTAATACTGCCCTTTTAAGTTTGTAGACAGTTGTTTCCGTTAAATCACTGATCAGCCCAGTGATAAAACCCTTTGCCTGTATGGAGTAGAGGGAAAGACTTTTGGGTGGGTGGAGCATTTCTAGGAGTAAGAGGTTCCATTAAAAACTCTTTCAACTTAGCCTAAAGGTGTTTTCACACGGGCAGAACTCCATTTAGGACCAACTAATCCATCCAGTAACACGATCGATAACATGAACCAGAAAATGTTTACACATAGGTTCAGTTCAGTTCAGTTCAGGTGTCAAGAGTTTGTTCATGAATCATGACAGGCCTGACTCTGGTTCATGGTTGAGCTAACATGCTCACTCTCTCCTCCCACATACGAACCCAGATGCCTTCACTTGCTGAAGTCACAGACTTTCCAATAACTGGGACTTTCCCATAATCCTAACTGTGGTCAAGAATCCCAATTAACAGGAAGGAAACCAACCTCTGTTGGTGGATTTGCTTGCATTTGAATGTCACAATCAAGACTTTCAGGCTTCAGTCGCTGTGTGTTGGGAGGGGGGGGGGAGCAAGGATGGCAATGGACCAGACCCACGCCCAACACACGCAAACCATGATCTGTTCGTGACATCTGAATGCAGCCTACCAAATCACACTCTAGATAATGCAGACTTGGCCCGGGCAACCCAACAACCATTGTTTCCAACCAGTTTTTCAACAGCTCCTGGTAATTTCATGTATTGATTTGACCCTAGTAATATTCAACCTGTATAAGAGAACCTACACACTGTGTGCCTAGAGTGCTGATTGCTGTCCCTGGAAAACACTGATTACCCACAAAAACTCATTTCCTACATTGATCACATACTGTACAATATATATATATAGTGATACTGACCATGTATTGGCTGCATATGATCTCAAGCACTCACATACAAATTAAATTGAGCGTGAGAAAGGCGGAGTATAAATGAAATAAATGTCACCGTTGCTTTCTGCAGGGTGGGGGAGGTGTATTGCTCAGTGAACCAGAGAACTATTGTATATTTTGCAAGAAAAGAGGATACCCTATGAATGACAGCAAGCAGCAGCCAAATAAACCGATTTCATGTTGTTGTTTTTTTAAAAAAGATAATAAATTTGAAACTTGAAGAAAGGCTGATCTTTCAGTGCTCTGTTTTCAGACTTACTGTGAAGTCCTCCACCGCTGCTCTCTTCTCTACATGCCTCACTGTGGGGAAGGAGCTCGCTGCTGGCACTGGCACAGTGAGGCACCGGGGCAGGCCACCGCTCCACCAGCCGAGTCCATGGCGAATCCATGAGATGCCACCAGTACCTCTGGGACTTGGCTTACACCAAGCATGCCTGGTCAATTATACCCCCCCACCCTTGACTTTCCTCTGCACAGACATCTTCACAGGGCAACATTTGTTTCAGCACTTTGGCCAATCCCCTTGCCCCTCCCTATTCTAGATCCTAGAGCATCCTGGTCACATCTATGCCACTGGAAACTTCTTATACAACCACTGAAGCATTAAGATGGGGAAGGGG